TTCTTGTCTTTTCTTTCCAGGCCTCCCTCGGCGTTAGGCTCCTCAGCCTCACCTCCTGACTCAACTTGGTGAAAGTAGGTGTTCCACCAAGTATTAAGGCCCTAAGCCATTAAGGGCTTTATATGTAAGCATCAACACTTTGAAGTCGACGTGGAATCGGATGGGCAGCCAATGCAGTGCAGCCAGAGTGGGTGAGATATGTTGGTATTTTTTCACACCACTGAGGAGTCTGGCCGCAGCATTCTGCACCACCTGTAGTTTCCGCAGCAGCCTCAAAGGCAGCCCCACGTAGAGCGCATTGCAGTGGTCTAATTTGAGATTACGAGCGCACCTTTACCTTTACCTAAGAGTTCTGATACTGGTACAAAACTGAGAGATCAGCAATAAGATATACAGTATATTACAGAAATGGGTACACTCCCTCAAATTTCATAAATACCTTAGTATACCTTCTCAAGTGACAACACTGAAGAAATGACACTTGGCTATAATATAAAGCAGTGAGTATACAGCTTGCATAACAGTGTAAATGTGCTATCCCTTCAAAATAATGCAACACACAGCCATTAATGTCTAAACCGCTGGCAACTAACGTGAGTACACCCCTAAGTGACAATGTCCAAATTGGGCACAAAGTGTCAATATTTTGTGTGGCCACCATTATTTTCCAGCACTGCCCTAACTCTCTTGGGCATAGAGTTCACAGAGTTTCACAGGTTGCCACTGGAGTCCTCTTCCACTCCTCCATGATGACATCACAGAGCTGGTGGATGTTAGAGACCTTGCACATCTCCACCTTCCGTTTCAGAATGCCCCACAGATGCTCAATAGGGTTTAGGTCTGGAGACGTGCTTGGCCAGTCCATCACCTTTACCCTCAGCTTCTTTAGCAAGACAGTGATAATTCTGGAGGTGTTTTTGGGTCGTTATCATTTTGGAATACTGCCCTGCAGCCCAGTCTCCAGAGGGAGGGGATCATGCTCTGCATCAGTATGTCACAGTACATGTTGGCATTCATGGTTCCCTCGATAAATTGTAGCTCCCCAGGGCTGGCAGGACTCATTCAGCCCCAGACCATGACATTCCCACCACCATGCTTGACTGTAGGCATATTTGTCTTTGTACTCCTCACCTGGTTGCCACCACACACACTTGACACCATCTGAACCAAATATCATTTCTTCAGTGTTGTCACATGAAAAGATATACTGTACTAAATTATTCATGAAATGTGAGGGGTGTGTACTCACTTCTGTGATATACTGTATGACATCTTGTACCTTTGTTGGCAAATTTGCAAGACTTCTTATCAGGCTTGTTTTGTGTAAAATAAATAATTTTAGCATGCCCTGAGTCTCAAACAAGAACCAAACTAGAAAAAAGGTTTTGTTTTGGACTACTCTCAGAATCATTTTCCTGCAATGGCCATGTTGAGTAGATGATTTGAGGAGCTATAATTCAAAAAGTAACTTTGTAAATTTCTGATCAATGTAACTGGCAGACTCTGCTGGAAGGAAATGGAGTTGGCATGTTTTCTGTGCTTAACCACTCACTGTTGTTCCAGTCCTCCTGGATTTCCAGTGCTAATACACATCTCTCTTTGCCTCCTTTCTCTTTCACCAGCACCTTGAGTGCTAAGGAGGGAGCTTTCTTGCCTTTTTTTCTCAGCTTCTCTGGGTAATTATGGGCTGCTTTCTTCTTTTTGGGGAAGAGGTGGTGGTACTGCAGGTAGCGGAGTGCAAAAGCCTTTAAACTTTCTTTGAAGGGACAAATAATGAGAAAATGAAAGGATATGAGTGAGTGTATATTTACTATGATTGCTAGGGACATGTGTTTTTATACATAATAGCAAACTAGTTCTCAATGAGCTTGGTCTCACTGCCAAAATAAACTAGAATGGGAATTGTTTTTGTTTGTTGGTTTTTTTATTTGAGTTAAAGTCACATGGTTAGTGTATGTGTGCTCTTCACTGCTGCCACCTCAGCCTCCCTAGGCAGTGTGGTGGATGCTCGGCCCCTGCAACCCAGCTTCCCTGCTGCTGAGAAGCCAGCTGAGACAAGCGGAGGCAGCAAAGCTGGATTGCTGCCTCTGTGCAGGCACTGCACTATCCACCTGATCCAAGCAAAAAACCCCGGCACTTCTCCTCCTTCCTCTGCAGCTGCTGGTCCTCCTCCTCTCCACTCCTGTTTCTCCCCTCTTATCAGTAAGATGCAATTTACTCCAACAGAGGGGTTTACGTATGCCAAACTGATTGAAATAAATTGGTTTTGCAAATAATTACAGTGGTGTCTCACAAGACGGGTGCTTCATTTTACGACGAAGTCGCATTACGAAGAAGTTTTTGCAATCACAAAAGCGATCGCAAAATGATGTTTCCTATAGGGGAATTTCGCTTTGCGATGATCCGTTCCCTGCTTTGGGAACCGATTCTCGCAAAATGACGATTTTCCTACAGCTGATCGGCAGTTTCAAAATGGCCACCGGGTAAAAAAAAATGGCTCCCTGCTCTTTTCTGGGATGGATACCTCACTGCACGGGCAGCGAAAATGGACACGCTATGGAGGATCTTCGCTGGATAGTGAGTTTCAAGTCCATAGGAACGCATTAATTGGGTTTTAATGCGTTTCTATGGGCTTTTTACTTTCGCTTTACGATGTTTTCATTCTACAGCAATTTCGCTGGAGAATTCTTTCTTATTAGGTTGAAATATTTTGTTACTCATAAATGACCCTCTGGCAGAAGAGTACTTAAGGTTACTTTCAAACAAAAAGACATGTTTCCCTAGCAAAATAAACTGGGCTTGCATTCATGTCATGGAAACAACTTATTTTAAATCTTTTTTTAAAAGCAGAACCCAATTCAACAGGGGTTATTAATGTCAGTAGGATCAGGTTCAATCTGGAAGTTGAGTCATGGCAACTGGAATTCTTTCTTATTAGGTTGAAATATTTTGTTACTCATTCAAGTAGCTTCTTCAGACTGGGGAGAGTTGGTAGGAGGCCCCTGATGAAACCAACATGGCGGATATATCAGGGGTCTCCTACCAACTCTTCTCAGACAGACAAAGCTATTTGGATGAGTAGCGAAACGTTTCAGCCTAATAAGAAAGAAGTCCAGTTGCCATTACTTAACTTCCAGATAAGCTTACCCGGATGACTGAGAATCTTCAGATAGATCAGGCTCAATGTTCAGATTGAGAGACTTGGGAATTTAGCTCAGATGTGCATATTGCACCCCAGCTCTGTTGTGCCAGAGGACAGGCTTCTATCTTTATTTACTTATTTTTTTAACTTATATGCCGCCCACATTACCCAAAGGTCTCTATCTTCCCAGTAGAGCTGGCCCAGAAACCAGCACGTTTTCCAAATACGCAGAAGCTCAGCATTTACAACTCCATGGTATTTAGTTGATGAAGAGACATGCCCTTGTAAGGGTCTTGGAACAACAGAGATTAAGTCATAATTGTTTCAGGAACTAAGTTTTTGTATTCGCGAAGGCTTTCACGGCCGGGATCTAATGGCTGTTGTGGGTTTTTTGGGCTTCTTGGCCGTGTTCTGAAAGTGGTTCTTCCTAACGTTTCACCAGTCTCTGTGGCCGGCATCTTCAGAGGACAGTTTGCTGTCCTCTGAAGATGCCGGCCACAGAGACTGGCGAAACGTTAGGAAGAACCACTTTCAGAACATGGCCAAGAAGCCCGAAAAACCCACAACAACTAAGTTTTTATTAAAAATATAGGAAAGAGATTGTAAACTGCAGCCCAGAAGGGGAAAGATACATGAAAGAACGTATTTTTTAGAGATGCCAGAAATCATTTCGCCATACATCACCAGGAAATAGATTGCACCAGACAACTCCATAAGCAGTCCAAAATGCAATTGGTTTCCCCACGTGATCACGTCCTTTGTATATGAGAAAGATGACAAATTCACTATCTGGCTACGTGAGGGTTCTTTACCTAGAAAACCCAGTACAATGTTCTTCTAAGCACCTCAGTTCAGAAGTACATTTATTTACATTAAATGGTACT